CCCGCTGATCAGGCAAATCACGGCTGACAGAGCTTCATTAGCTTGTAATGTCCCACATCCTGCAACCGGTTCAAAGTCTGATACAGTCGCAGGAATGTTGTGTTATGTAGGCTTTATAGTCAGAAGGGGATGCCGCTGTGAGAAGGGGTGTCTTCCTTTTTGCACTCCTTGTAAAGGCCTCAGGAAGCTTCAAACATAATAGTTCGCCAGGTCAAGTCTTCTTCAATACAGCATAATGTTCATTTAGTAAATTATGGTCCATTTAGAGTCAAATAGACCATAAAAAGGAGTATGCTTTAGGGCGGGGCTTACTGTGATTGACAGGTTGCTGCCACAACCAGAGCCATAAACGGCGTCTCTAAGTCACTCCTCCACATTCCAACTATGGTAACTTCTGTTCATTAGTTATAAGGGAAACAACATGGCGACGGCCATATTCCAAGATGGCGACGGTGAAATCGCAGAACTCGAGGCTTCAAAACAACGGTCCACAAACCAACGGGTGACGTCACGATGACTACGTCCACTTCTTATATACAGTCTATGGTCCAGACAACAAGCAAAACAGAACTTTAGAAAGTCAGTGGAAAGACGCAACTATTAGACACGACACGGCACCAATCGAGGCGAAGAGGCAACCTGCGCAAGTTTAAAATGTTTCACCTCAATAAATGAAGCGCATATGAATTCGCTTTACAAACGTACAAATAAGATCAAATAAGATCATTCCAGTTAGGCTTTCTTTAAATGTCTGTCCTGGTATTGGTACTGGCATTGTCATTTTTTAAACGATACCTAGCCCTAAATACGTTAATGTAAATAACTTTTTTACCAAAGGAAAAAATTATGAAATATTGCCTGTAACTCACATTTGTCATTAATATTTGTCTCCCACAAAATTACGTTTTCATACAACCAAACTCTATTCTCAATTATATTTCGGAAACGAATTTTCTCCTAGATTACGGTCAAAGTTGATAATATTAATAAGATATAATATTTAAAAAATGTTTTTAAAAAAAGGATGACGACTTTGTTAGGTTTAGTACAAACATCATGGTTTAGCTTCAAATAGCTACGTTTGTTACGTTATTTAAGTTACAGAAGTTTGCAGACTTCCGCAGATTAAAATAAGAAATATTTTGACTATACTGCAAAAATAAACAGAAAAACTGAGAAAATATGTTTCCCATGAAGCATAATTGACAATGCAGATTCATTGTATAGAAACAGAGTTTATAGTTTATAGTTCTAGTTCAGTGCAGTAAAAAAACATTTTAAACTAGGTATACGCATATTGTATATCCCATATAAGTATGTACTGTGTCTCTGCAGCAGTGTGTCAGACCCTCTATGTTTTCTGTACCTGTTGATCAGTAAGTTTAGTTCGGATGTAACACAGAGATCCCCAGCCCAAAATGTTAAAATAACATCTCCCCAGTCTGTGTTTAGGTGCTGAGTGAGTGATGTGGGAAATGTCGTCCATGCTGTCAGTTCATGTTTGTGTTTCCATTTGAGAAGGGAAATCACAAGAAGGACCCCCCCCCCCCCCACGCTGTGGGAGGCAGTGACTGGATGACCAGTCAGCTGACTGAGAGGATTTATTGGGGGGGGTAAATCTGCAGGTTGTAAAGGGTCATTATAGGAGAAAGGCTTCAGAGACGACCAGCAGTCATGACGAATTCCTGATCAGGACGCAGGTATTTTTACAATCACGCCATGATGCTCAATGGAGCATTATGGATTACAAAGTGGATTAAAAAGAAGAGAAATCTCCTGCTTCCTTAAGTGGCTGCTCTTAACACACTACGTTTGTTCTGAATGACTCAAACTTAAATTAAAAAAACTACAAAAAAAGGAATTTAAAGGTCTCACAGACTTGGAGGCGAGCTCCCGCAGAGGGTTTAAGAATGTCCCACTGTCAAATCGTCAAGTGTTTGAGAGATCCTTTGCAGACATTATGCACCTTTTTACAAGTCTGCATTTCTGCAGATTTTGACTTAGAGAATTACCCACAATTCATAGCGTGTGAAGCCTGGCGGTGTTCAGAAGCAAAAAAGATAAACGATGAGGACGGCACAAGGGTGTTTATCCTGAGGTGTTGAATTTACACCGAAATATAAACATTCACAATTTAAGATGCTGGTAAATAAACACATACAAATCTAAGGATTTCAAGGCTATATCACACATCTGGTTTATTCACAACCATTTCTTCTAATTATGCTTAATGACGCGATTTTGACAAATATAGTAAATTGATTATCTGACAATTACCTCTCCTCCCGTCAAGCAAGAAACCTGGAAGACGTTCAAATCAGGAAGTACAAAATGTAAGAAGAAAACTTGCAATTGTACCAAACATATTTTAGCAATGTAAACAAGTCTCAGTTGTGTTCAAATAACACAAAACAGACCGATTTTACTTGATATGATTCGATGGAAACTAGTTAAACTCTTTGAGTGTCTATGTTTGAGGTGAAGACGTTATGTGACCTGCTGTGTTTCACCTCTTCTCCTCCTCGCTGTAGATAAAACTCAGCTCATGTGTGAACGCCGTCCATCGACGCAAACGGCTCGCTGCTCTCGCACATTTGCCTGCAGCAGGCCGAGGCGTCGCCGGAGAAAGCACAACAGGAGGCATTGTTCCCTTCTCTCTCTTCCTCTCTTTCCATCAGCTGACTCTGGTGGGGGGGGGGCAGGTCATGTCATGATGCCGTGAAGCCCGACAGCAGCGATGTGGACTGTGAGTAAGAGACGATGCTACTCACAGCAGGTCAAACACCGACGTTATCACACATCAGCCGGATGCTTCTCTGTCCCTGAACTCATCTTCTCTGCTTCTTTTGACCTTTACACCAATGTTTGTTTACTCTTTTGCTAGGCCTATACATTATTTTTATTACTTTTATTTTTAGTTTGTTGGTTTTCATCTCAAAATATTGAACTATTTACAAAAGTGACTAAAAGAAGAGATTTGCAAAAGATTTTCTTATAATTGCATATTCAAAAACAGACAAAGTACTTTTCTTTATTCAGTAATCCTAAATTTATAGATTGAGAGAAAAATAAAATAGTTGTGGTGATAAACAAGTGTAAATAAAAGACTCAGTCACACTATACAATAAAAGATCAAAGTAAGTATTAATAGTTTTAACTTCTGCAGACCAAACTGACAAATTAACATCTCGTTCACTTCTATGTTTTGACATGTTGGGACTCCATAGCAGTTATTGCTGATGTGTTATTATCTCAGAGATGTATCCCAGGGTGAACTCATTCAAAGTCCGACTTCAGATCAAAGTGTGTCGTGTCAGCAGGATGTTTGTTTGTCAAAAATAAAAAAACAGGAACTGGAACCGGTTTTACATTTCGTGTGCAGCTCCCATGTTTGTCCTCGGTGAGTACAGTCTGAACGGAGAGAAGGGGATTCACACTTTGCTTGGCAACAACAGCTGAATTCTGTGATTGGCTGCTGGCTCGGTGACGTCACGGGCGCCTGGCACCGGGACTGGAATGCAACAGAGAGAGAGAGAGAGAGAGAGAGAGAGAGAGAGCGAGCCTGCGGGCAAAGCGTCGCCGACAACACTTGTTGCTTTCTGCACACAGTTGTTCTTGTTTTACAACCCTAGACATGACATTCTCACACGCTGTGTTGAAATGTTTTATTTTGATGCTGCCATGTGCTCTTAATAGAGAGCAAGCGAAGATTAGTAAATAATAATAATATATATATATATATATATATATATATATATATTTTTTTTTTTTTATTTTTTTTAATTTTTTTTTTTTAAATCTAAAATAAAGTCTGTGGATTCAGCACTTGTTGAACAGTAACAGCAGTGTGTGTGCAGGCTGTCAGCTGAACTCCATGCTCAGGGTTTTGGTATTTATAAAACCTCTTTGGTTCCCCATGGGCAGAGAGGAGGAATGGGCGGAGCGAGCTCTCACTCTGCCTCCAATTCCAGGGATACAATTTAAACCACAAAGTAGCTTATGGAGCTCAGGCATCGGCTTTACATTTTGGCAATGAATGTTTTGTGGGAATAAAACTTTCTCCAATACCAGTGTTTCAATGCCAATGTTTACTTTTCAGCTTCATGCTTTTGTTTTAAGTTTCATTTTCGATGCCAAAGTTTAAAGTCGCTGTAACAAAGCAGGCCAAGATTATGTGGACTCAAATAAAAATAACACCTGTAGGCGACAATTTTATACTTAACATCTTTCGGATAAAATGTTTGTTTTTGCTTCAGCTAGTTAAGAAGAACTTATTCTGTATATTTGGTTTCACTCTAATGTGTATTACTGGAAGGCTACAAATACAGGGAACCATCTTGAATGAATTATTTCCCAGTCTGTTGACATGGAGTGAATATAACATAAATAGCAGAACCCAGAAAAAAACCCATATTAAATACACATGGATAAAGCCTGTATTGTTTTTGGTTTTGGATTTATGATTGTATACTTTATACTTCTACTCCACAACAATCCAGAGGTAAATTATATGTCTCGATTCAGATTATTAATACAGAATAACGTATTACTATAGAATACACCACCCAGCAGTATAAAGTACTTAAATTTAGCCGCACCTTTACCAGCTGCAACATTAAAGCGATGAGCAAATTAATGCAGAAACAGCTATGATCTAAATATATAATATGTTGTTCTGAAATGGGTCATTCTTCATGAGTAGCCTACTTTTACTTTGGGTACTTCAAGTATGTTTTGATGCTAATAGGCCTGCTCTTAGGTACAGTCTTCAGTGCTTTTACTTGTGACAAAGTACTTCTTTGCTGTGGTATTATTAGGGTGGGTAAGATCTGAGTACTTGACAGCAGGCGTAGCTGCGCGTTTATACTTCGGTCACTCCAAAAACCGGCCCAGAGTGATGCCTCCTCTTAGACACAGACGATCCCCGCGCGTAAAGCTCTCCGGATAAAGATAGAGAAACGGTGAGCATGCGCCCGAGGGGTTGTCGAAGAATCCAGTAAATAGAACCCCGGAGCACGAGCGTCGCGTCGCCGCTGACGTCACGGTCCTACATTGAGAGATCGAGCTGAATTGTAAGCGCGAGCAATCAGACGGAGGCGCGCCGAGGCAACGGACACAACTACGATGAACTCCAGTCGGTGTGACTCTACCGTTTTCTGAGGGGAAAATACAACGTTTTTTTTTTTTTTTTTAATGATAATTGTTGGTTCATTTGTTTTCCTTCCAGCGACGTAAACAAACTACCGGGACAGTTTTGCATTCGCTTCGGGGTTACAACATGTCTTCCGCGGCGGTCGCTGCCTCCAGAAGGCAGTCCTGCTATTTGTGCGACTTGCCCCGCATGCCGTGGGCGATGATCTGGGATTTTACTGAGCCCATTTGCCGTGGATGTGTCAACTACGAGGGTGCAGACCGGATTGAATTTGTTATCGAGACGGCTCGGCAGCTGAAGAGAGCGCACGGCTTCCAGGAGGGTCGCTCTCCGGGCCCGGGGAAGCCCCACCACGCCGGGAAGGAAATGCACCACTCGGCTGGAGACCCGGGCTCCCGTGCGCCGCAGCCGCTGGACCGCTACCCGCTCTCTGACCGGCCTCCTCGGCTGGGACCGGAGTACCAGACGGGGAGGCAAGCGAACGGCCTCCCGCTGCCGAACGGATATCCAAAACCCGACGAGCCCCCGGAGCTGAACCGCCAAAGCCCAAACCCCCGCAGGACTAGTACGGTTCCTCCCAACCTGGTGCCTTTGGTGAACGGCGGCATACCGACCATACATCCGCTCAACGGCCGCCCGAATCAGATGGGTCTGCCCGGGGTTCTGGCCGCGCCTGGCCCCGGGGAGCACGGCAAACGTCCGGAGGAGCTGAAAGACAAACACAGGCCGGACAGCCTGTCGGACATGTCGGACAGCCACAAGGAGTGGATAGGCAAAGGCAAAACAGTCAGGGACCTGATGGCGCTGCACACTTTCGACAGCAGGTTTAAAAAGGAACACGCCGCCATGCAGAGGGTGATGGGATATGAAACGAGTGCCACTTCCTCAAAAACAGGTATTTATGTGTTTTTTCCCCCTCCTTCTTCCCAGCGGTGGAACATTGTTAATTGGCATGCGCCATGAAAACAGGAACTTAACAGCACTAAGAATTATGTGTCAGCACATTTTACGCACGGTGCTGACGTGCGTTTTAAACCCGACATGCTCGGTAACGCCACGCTGCTGAAGCGGCCCCGTTCACCTCTGTGTGCGTGCGTGCGCGCGCAGAGCTGTGGCAAAGAACAGCAGCGACATAAACAAAGCCTTAATTCACTGCGTGTTGAGAAATCGCCTGTGTTTCATTATTCACTTGAGCAGCACGCTGGATGTGTTTGTGTGTAGTGTGGTTGAGTTAACCCTCCCTCTTCCTCTTCCTCTTCCTCTGCCACAGACAGGGGGAAGCACCCCAGGAGCATGAAGAGGAAGGCCTCCCCAGAGCCAGACGGTGAGGGCAGCGCCCCCAAGATGAACGGCGGTGAGGGCCAACCTTGGCTCCCGTCACCCTCTGAGATCCTGAAAATGCCCCCAGTCGCCCTGCAAGGCTTCTCAGCCGCTCCCTCCTCCACCATCTCTCCCCACTCCCGCACCACGCCCCCCGAGGCGGCCACGCCGCAGAACGGCCAGTCCCCCATGGCAGCGCTCATCCTCGCCACCGACAACGCCGGCAGCACGGGCTCACCGAAGGACGGCAACCAGGTACACTCCACCACGGCGGGCGCGCGGCGGAACAGCGGCAGCCCCCTGTCTCCGTCCTCGGCCTCGCAGAGGAGGCTGGCCCAGAGGGAGGGCCCCGTGAGCGCCAACCCCTCTGCCCTACACATGCCCGGGGGCATGGACCCCCACGTGCCGCCACTGCAGAGCATCCCGGACTCTTCTGTGCCGCCCGGCAGCGTGCCGCTGTGCTGCACTCTGTGCCACGAGCGGCTGGAGGACACTCACTTCGTCCAGTGCCCGTCGGTGGCGTCACATAAGTTCTGCTTCCCTTGCTCCCGGGAGAGCATCAAGCAGCAGGGCGCCACCGGCGAGGTGTACTGCCCCAGCGGCGAGCGGTGCCCGCTGGTCGGCTCCAACGTGCCCTGGGCCTTCATGCAGGGGGAAATAGCCACCATCTTGGCCGGGGACATAAAGGTAAAAAAGGAGCGGGACCCTTGAAATGCTCACCAGCTGTTCTTGAACTCTTTTCCTTTTGTAATCCGACTATG